GAGAAGTCTTTGCATGGACCCCAGTGCTCCCTCTGCCCTGAGGACGGCACGCCAGCTTCCCCAGTCTGGCTTGCATCCTACACCTGACCTGGGAGGCCCCTGGCATCTAATCCCCAGCCTCACAGAACTCCAGAAGTCCTCACTTCCCCATCCTCCCCCAGGGTCTAGCCCCACTCCACCTGGCTGGTGCTCATCCTTTGGTCTTTGTATCCCACAGGTTCCTCATCCCTCAGGTCCAGCGTCACACTGTTGCCCTCCTGGACTTTGCCTTGCCTTTGTAGGGGGTTCAGTACCTGCTGGACAGCTTTGTTTCTCCAGCCAAAGTGAGCGCTGTGAGAGGACAGGAACTGTTCCCATTCACCCCTGGACTCCTTGGTACTGCCTGTTACATGTCTGGAGCATAGTGGGTGCTCAATAATCATGAGAGGGTGGAGGAATGGATTGATGGACAGATGGCCAGAGAGAAGAATGGAGGAAAGGTAGATGGGCAGATGAAGGAGTGGATTGTGGAAGATGGATGGAGGGATCAAAGAAATGATGGGGGATGGACAGATGGACAGAATAGCTACAGTCTTCCAGAAACACAGCAGGCAGGCTCTAAGAAAACCCAGGCAGCTGCTGAGTGTGGCGTTTACCAAGATCAAGGCTGACTGCAGGGCCTACCTTGTGCAGCCCCACGGGTCCAGCTGTGCTCTGCTTCCTGAGTCCCCGGCGCAGGACTGACACACCCATCTGGCCTTGAGGTCTCCTATCCACCTGGCTACTAGCGGCAGACAAGGAGGAAAGGTGAGTTTGGGGGTGGGGTAAGGGCATGAGATTTGGGGTCCCAGGAAGAGAGGAATCCCTGGGAGCCCAGGGGTCACACCCGAAGCGCCTCCCAGCCCTCATCAGCTGCAGCAGGCTGGCTCCAGTGCACCACGGGCTGACGGCATCTGGGCTCAAGGTCCTGGGGGCTCCGGGAAGGAACCTGCCCTGTTCCCCAAAGACCTGGCTGCCTTCTGCCTGTGTGCTGCTTCCCCATGGCTCGAGCTCAGTGGATCCCTTGTCCCTACCCCTGTGGCTCCCACACTGGTGTCTCCATTGTTCCCGACAGCTCTGACCCATGGTGAAGGCCATAGTGACCCTGTCTGTGCAGTGGCAGACTGCGAGCCGCGGAGGACTGCGTGGGTTTTTCTCGCTGCTCGGTCCCCTGCGCCTGGCACAGTGCTGAGCCCCTGGCAGGCATCTGGAGGGGCAGCTGATACATGAGTGAGAGGAGAGGGTGGCTGTCTTTACTGCACAGTGGCTTCTCCTGGCAAATGAGTAAATAAAGGTCTGCCTTGCACTGTCATCTAACACTTAGCCCGGCTCCTTTGTGCCATTGCTTTGCGTGTCCCACAGGCCCATCTTCAAGAGGCGTGGTGGTGCATGCCTGTAATCCTAGAACTCAGGAGGCTGAAGCAGGAGGACTGCCTCAAATTCGAGGCCAGTTTGGGCTAAAAAATGAGTTAAACGCCCACCCAAACTATGTAGGGAGGCCCTGTCTCAAAAAAATAAAAAATAAAAACAAAATTCTCCCAACAGTGCTACTATACAGGTGAGGAAACAGAGGCACGGCAAGGCTGAGAGACTCCAAAGATCTGTCCCTCAAGTGCTCAGCTAGAACTGGACACAGGCAGCACCTCTCCAGCTGCCTCTGCTAAGCCAGCCACCAACCGACAGCATTGGCTCTGTGGGGAGATGTTGTGGGGGTGTCTCAGGGGTGGTGACATTAGTGCTGCTGCCATAGCAGCACACTTCACAGCTTCTTAGCGGCCCCCTCCTCCTGGGGAGACTTCAATTCAATTGGAGGGGCAGAGGCCAACCCTTTGGATAAATCTCCCTTCCCATCATCCTTTTCTCCTTGCCAGAGGTCAGGGTGAGGATTGTCATGCGACCCATTCTGGCCAATGAGAAATGAGGAGCTGCTACTGGACACGCTATCTTTGATGCTTTCACTGCGGCTTGTCATGCCTGGAACTCAAACAGGAATGTCTGGACACCGTCTTGTGGCTGTCCTGCTGGAAGCTAAGCTAAAGACAAAGCTGTTGTGCCAAGCACAAAGAGTGAAGGTACAGGACAAGTCCCAGTACTCTCTGAGGTCACTGAGCTGTTCAATTCACGAGCCCTGAAGTCGCCATGTCGTGTGACTTAGAGTCCTTCTGGTTTGGCTTGGTTTGTTTTTTTTTGAGACAGTGTTTCACTGTGTAGCTTAGGGGAACTCACTATGTAGTTGGCCCTGAATTCACTGAGATCATTCTGCTTCAGCCTCCCAAATGCCGGGAGTATATAAAAGTCTTTTTTTTTTTTTTGCTCTATCTCGTGTCTGTGCACCCAAAAGCATGTCAACAAGCACAGAAGAGCTGTGTAGCAGGAAGTGGAAGGGGTACCATAGGCTCTTACATTTCCAAACAAGGGGAGCCCAGCCCAGAGCGTGGAGAGAGGACCCCCACAGTGCTCCCCACTCGGGGAGGGGCAGAGAGGACAAAAGGAAAGTGTGAGGGGGCTCCTGGCTAAAGTGATCCTAAAGTTTTCTCTATCCCAAGTCGAGCCCAGTGGAGGGCCACGGAGAAGACTCCTGAAGGTTTGAGGCATCTGAGATTCACAGAGGCTGCCCCTCAGCCTGGGCAGAGCCCTAGGAAACAAGCGTCCCCATAGTGCATCCAAGCTTTCCAGCGGACACTGCGTGTGCAGAGGGACCTGGGAGTCCCAAGAGGCAGAAGAGCCAGGAGGCTCTGTGGGTGGTTATGGTGCTGCAGTACAGAGGGACCCGGAGCCTGGGGTGGACCAGATACTGCCAAGCAGGCAGAGGATGCACGGACGCAGAGTCCTGAGGGGCTCCGTCTGCTGCCAGGGAGGGGCCCCAGCTGGACCAAAGCACGTTTCTTCCACTTCAGCACTTGAAGCGCCTCGTGGAAATGGATCAGCCAGACAAGCGAGCAAGCTCTGTTTCTCACACGTCCTAGCGTGTGGCGTCAATCCTTCACTGGCCGTCAGCGGGTGACACCCAGCTACCCACCAGGACCTGAGGGCTGCGTGTGCCCGTCTCAGATGCTGCTGGCCTGAGAGGGTCGCCTCCATGTGCCTGGGCCACCGATGCTTCCTCCTCCACGCCTGCTGCCTGGTGCTGGCTCCCCAGCCTCCCTCCCGGCTTAGAGGCCAACTGCCCCAAAGCCAGGTCTGCACAGCCCTATGAACTCTTGACTCGTGTCCTGGAAATCCCTCCTTCCTCTCTGGCTCCCGAGGCCTCGGCTGACTCCAGCTCGCCCTGCTCGGCCCCACCCACAATGTGCTCTACATCTGTTTCTGCTTCTGTGGAATCTCTGCCTGTGTCTCCCCGTCCTGCAGACGCACACGTGGCAGCCTGTGGCTACCATGAGGGGCTGCCAGGCGGGGCCGCGCCGGAGGGCTGAGCTGGAGCATCTCCACCCCTGGCCGAGGATCCTGCTTCTGGCTTCCCCAGGTCTGGTTCCCCAAGCCCAGCGACAGCCATTCGTCCAACTGACAAGTGCTCAGGGTGTCTGTCCTGTTCACGCACAGGATGGCTGTCACACCCCATCCTCAACCAGAGCAAAAGCCAGTCTCATCTACTTGGTAAGACTTGCACATCACAAAGCCAGGTCATGCACCAGGGCTCACAAGGAGGTGGTCGAGCTGGGAGCAGAGCTAAAGGAAGGGGCTCTGGATCAGAGCCCCCAGAATGGCTCCAGAGCCCGCCCCCTGGAATGTGGGCGCTGGTCCCTGCTCTCCCAGGCAGAGCCAAGACAGAGGCCACCTCCAGATCCCCAGGCCTCTGCCCTTCCAAAGATCAGAGTAGTCTTGTAGGGGTAACAGAGCCTAGTAGACAGACTCTCTGTCCACACTTTACCCTACCTGGTCGCCCCCCTCTCCTCCGTTATCAAATCTCTCACCTGCTTCCCAGGCCAGTGGGTACCTGGCCCCTCCACACGCCCAGACTTCCATCATCTGCCCAGTTTCCAGGCATCCTGTGTCCCCCCTGGACAACAGCCTGGTCCCTCCTGCTGTGAGTCTTGCCCTGGCCCTGCCTCTTGAGGCTCACCAGCACCCAGAGACACACAGCCAAGCCTGGCATGCAGGGGTCAAATTCAAAGACAGGGTGGCGGCATGCGGTGCCAGTCTGGGTGCCCCAGACTAATACAGCCTGGAAACGCTTGCCAGGTTCAGCTTTAGTTTGCCGCGGAGGAACTTGGACCCTCTTGCAGGTGCTCAGCAGGAAGTTTCAGCAGCTTAGCCACTTCCACATCAGCCAAGCACCAGTCCTGGGGAACTCACACGACAAGAGGCTCCTGGTTGGCCAGGGCCCTCATCCCCACCAGGACCAGGGTCTGAGCTGGGGCAAACACAGCCCAGCCACAGCACCTGTGAGATGGCTCCCCAGTGGCTCCAATAGTGGGGTCTCTGCAGAGATCACTACAGAGCATCCAGATGCACCAGGAGCCTCCCTTCCTGGCCAGCTGGGCTCCCAAGAACTGGAGGCCTGGGCCTATGACTGCAGGGCTGCACCTGAGGCCACTGCGGATGGAAGGTTCTCCACGGCACAGTTCTTCCCCAAGGTGCCCAGGAAGCCACCAAACAGAAACAGCCATGCAGAGCAGAACCAGAGGCCCCAGGCTGTCCTGGAGTTGTAAAGGTGCATGACTCTAAATGCATGTGTGTGCACAGCCGCCCTGCCAAGACACCCACTGTGAAGGGCCGTGCAGCTTTCCCTGGTAATCTTATGTTACCCTGTCATCAGCAGCCCCATTTTACAGACCAGAAAATGGAGGCTCAGAGATGTGAGCAGTGTCTGGGTCACAGCAGACTCTGAGCTGGTTCCACTAACTCCAGGTCCCAGTGGCCACTTGAGTGACTGGGGGGGGAGGGGTCTCTTTGCAGGTGGGGAACACACAGAGTGAAGTCCAGGGCTATCTTCAGCCCCAGCAGTGCTCCCAGGGTGGGTCAAGGTCACAGAGCAGACTGAATCACCAGGGGACACAGTATCCTTTAATCACATGGACAAGCGGCACAGGGTGTGGGCCGGCTAGGGGTGGCCTGTGACACCAGCCTCCGTGGTATGTGGCAGGCCATTCCCATCGCCCCACCACGTGGCTGTGGCTCCCTTGGCTGTGAGCACCACAGTCCACCCCAGGGCCCCCTGTGCCCCAGAGTCTGCAAAAGCACCAATAGCCAGAGGTTGTGACCCTCTGGGGAAAGGGCCGGGGCATCTAGGAGAAGACAGAAAGACTGGTGGCCACCAGGCCACACACCCCAGGAAAGGAGGACAGAGACCTTTCCTGAACCTTGCTTGGCAGCACAGCTCAGAGGAGGGCCCCAGTGACCTGAATGTGGCCCATGTCACCTCCATGGACCTGCTGAGGGCTCCCAGGCTACTGCCTTCCATCCAGGCCCACGGCCCACCACATCTGTCAGGGCAGCACCACCAGAGAGGGCACTGTGGCAGGAGCTACCCACTTGACCTTAGCACCTTGAAGAAGCCTGGCAAAGTAGGGGCACTGGGCCGGTGAGAGGGGCCCAGGAAGTCGAAGAGCAGACGTCGTGTCTGATAGCGCCGGGAACGCACGTCTGACAGATGTCTTTAGCAAGACGGGCTGAGCAAGGCCTTGGGGAGGCTGTGGGTGGACGGCAGAGATGTGGAAGGGAAGCCCAGAGTGCCAGTGGGCCACTGTAAGCTGTGTGGGGCACTAAGAGTCTGGACCCCATTCCCCAGGGACTCCTTTTGTCCCCAAATGCACCCAACTCCTGAGTCCTCTCCCATAGGACCCTTGGCCTAGGCAAGGCTCCTCTGGGGGAGACTTTCACAATGGACATTGGGCAGGAAGGGGGAGTGGGAAGGGGACAGCACACCCCTCGGGGGCCCTGTGCACCAGGGGTCGGTGGAAAATGAAGCACCTGAACACCCAGAGCGCAGGTCTGTCTGAAGAAAGGCCTGCCTGTTCTCTGGGTCTGGATTCAAATTTGTATACTCCTTGGTGTCTGTCCCACCCCCACCCAGGCTGGACTGGGTGCTCACCAAGGGTAGGGCAAGATGCACAGCCTGTGTCTGATTTGCCCCTGCTTTCCTAGGGTTAAACATGAACCAAATACTCAGTGTTTGATGGATGAATAAATGAATGGTCTCTGCAGGGATGCAGGTAAAGAGAGGATTAACAGTGGAAGGAAAGGACAAAGAGAACAGGGAGAAGAGTCCCGCAGTGATGAGAGAATTTGAGGATATGAGGAGAATCTTAGAGTGATTAGAAGATTCCAGAATATTCAGACAGTACTAGCATATACTAAGATGTTCAGGAAGTTCTACAATGTTCAGAAAGGTCTAGAATGTACTAGAATGTTCAGAAAGTACCAGAATGAAGTACTGATCACTTGAGTGTGGTCTATAGACCAGTCATCTCAGCATTGCTTAAGAACTTGTCAGAAATGCAGAATTCTGGGGCCCACTCCAGACCAGCTGGATCAGGATCTGCAATTCTACAAGACCCTCAGGAAACAGATGCCACACGGAAGTGTGAGAGGGCTGGGCTGTGAGTCTGAACGTTCTAGAGTATGGAGATTAGAAAGTTCCTGGAAATAAATGCCAGAGATGAGAGAGGGGCAGAAGCAGACCCGGAGGGACAGAGCGGTAAGGAAAGAAGGAAGTCAGGTCTCCCCGCCTCCAGGAGAGGCAGCCACCCAGCTCACAGCCACCCAGCTCCTGAGTCACCAGCCACGCGGGTGACCAGAGGTGCTCAGTCGTCCTCGGGCTTGATGAGGTGGCCGCTGAAGGTGATGTAGGTGTCCACGTCGTCGCTGTACACGGCGTTCTCGCGCTCGCGCTTGAAGAGCCGCACCCACACGCGGTCTTCGGGCGCCAGGGCCAGCATCACACTCTGGCTCTGCATGATGCTGCGGTCGCTGGGCTGCGCGTACAGGATGACGGCTGCAGCCCCGTTGTGCACCACGTGCACGTACGTCTCTTTGAAGTTCCAGCTGTGCACGTTGAGGCTGAAGAAGTAGAGGCCGCGCAGGGGTGCGACGAAGTGGCCGGCGGCCATGTCGAAGTGCCCGTCGGGGTTCACGAAGACGGTGTCGAAGAGCAGCGGCTGGAAGTCCTCGCTGCTGTGCAGGGCGGTCTTGCGGCCCACCGAGAAGGCCGAGGAGTGCGTGCGGCACGGGCTGCCCGGGCTGCCCGCCTGCCCCTTGGCCCCCTTGATGCCCTGTGGGCCCCGGTCCCCCCGGGGCCCCTCTTGGCCCAGCTTCCCTGGTGTGCCCAGCAGGCCTCGGTCCCCTTTGTCACCTGTGGGGACATGAAGGGAGAAGTCAGGGCAGACACCTGAGCCTGAGACAAGCACTCATTTTTGGCAGGCTGTGTCCCCACCGGGGCCCAGAGACAGTCAGGATTTATTGAGCACCTACTGCGTGCCAGACATCACCTCTCCAACGTCCCTCTGAGTAAGATGGAAGAAATAAAGACAGGAAGAACAGAGACAAGGAAAGTCGCAATTTTTAAATTGTGAAAGAAAACTACAGGGTTCTGCTGCCTTGTTCACCCTTAGGCCTGTTTTTTTCCCTTCCAGGTTTCTTATCCCTAAGCTTCCAAGAGCCTTAAAGATGCCATAGCTGTAAAATGGGTCCGTGACTTCCTTTCTATACTGTAGACTCAGTCTTCCAACCTCAAGGAAAGAACGCTGCCAGCTGGGTCCCGTTTCTCAACTTCAAACACAGGCAAACGGTTTCATTCTGACCCAGCCCACCAACTGGCAATCGAGGACACTAGCAATGCAAACCTTAGGTCACCGTCCCGAGGACACTCCCAAGAGCACGTAACACCCCAGCCCCAGACCACAGTGCACCGCACCCTGAGCACCCTCACGCCTTCCTGGCAGCACTGCCCAGCCATCCCCACCCACCAAGGGTGCTGGCAGCCCCTAACCGAGTCCCCAAGTCTCCAGGCAAGGCGTCCCTGCTGGGCCTCGTTCCAGGAACACTCTGAACACCGCCCGGCGAGCACCTGCATCCATGCACTTCTGTGAGCCACACACACGGCCTAGAGCCACACCTGCAGCTCATCTGTGACCACAGTGGAGAGAGGGGCAGAGAGGGGATACGGGCCCTTGGAGGAGGAGCCGGAGGAGAAGCGGGCCAGGCTGGCCTGTGGCTCCGCATGGGAGAACTGCCTCAAGTGTGCACTGCACTTCACAGTTTGCAGAACACCTGCTCTGCCCCTGCTAGGAGAGGGAGGAGGGTACAGGGCAAGGCAGCAGACCTGGGAAGAGGGGACCAGCCTGACCCCTGGGCAAGGTGCTGGGGCTGGACTCAGGACTCCAGAGGCCACCTGGCGCCTGCTGTCACTGCAAACTGGCCACCTCCGGCATGCAGTGGGGCTTGGGGGAGGACGGCTGGGGACATGCTATCTGCTTGCAGGTGCCTCCAACCTCAGCAGAATGCTGTCTGACAGAGGGTGAGCCCATAAGGAGGGGTGGCATAGAAGGGAGCTATCCCCCCAGGAAATGAGAGCAGGCGGGAACCTTAGACATCAGCTGCATGGCGTTGCAGAGTCTCAGGAACCAGTCCTGCTCTGTCCCTGGAATCTGTGGAACAAGAGAAGAGCTCCCCCCGCCACTGGAGACTCAGTTTCCCCATCGGCAGAGCAGAAGGAATGATAGAATTGTGACCTCATGGGGTCAGTGTGAGCAAAAGCAAAGGCTGAGGATGTTAGGGGCCCGGCCACAGCCGTCACCCTCCCAGCCCCTTTCACAGCTGATGGCACAGGGCAGGGAGCTGCCCGCCCTCTATGGCCCCAGTGAGCCCCCCTGCTGGCCATCCCTGCCTCTGTGCCTGCTCTCCACTCCGCATGTGGCACTAGAAGGGTCCTGCTGAATCCTAAACCAGACCAGGTCCCTCCTCAGCTCTAACTCACCGTGATCCCACTCGCAGAAGCTGAGCCCTGATCTGATGGGGGCTACGGTGACAGCATGCGGGATCTGGCCCTGTCTTGTCTCCCCCTTCCTTGCTCCTTTAGCACCCCCGCCCCAGGGCTTTGGCACCTGCTACACCCCAGCCTGGGAGCCCCCCTCCCCCTTCCATGGGCCTGTGCCCCTGGCTCACCCACCTTCCCATCCCTAGGGCACTTATCACACCAACACCCGTGTCACCAGCCTAGGTGAGGAGGTGCCTGTCCCAGTGTCTCCCGCCGCCCAGGGCCCTCGGGCCACGCCCTGCTGTATGGGACTCACCCTTCAGGATGGTGATGTTAATGTAGGGCCTGACCTCAGGCAGGGCGTAGGGGAGGGGGGATGGAGGTGCCGCAACCGAAGCATCTGCTGGGGCCAGTGTGTCCTCCGAGTCACAGCACCGTCGGCAGCTGCCGGAGAAGCTGGGGTCCACAGCTTCCCCAGAGGTAGGCTCCTCAGTGGGGACCCCAGACACCACAAGAGGGAGGAGAAGCACTGCCCAGAGGGGGCATACGGTGGTCGTCCCCATGGTGACCTGAAACAAGGAGGGAGGGACAGGAACTACGTTTCACTCTCCTGGTCTCCGATGTATAAACGCCTAGGGGGGCGGCTGCCTCCCTCGGCAAGTACGGGGACCAGGTGAGGACTTCCATTTAGCTGACAAGAGGATGGAGGCCTCACAGGGACACGAACTCTCTGGTGACACAGAGCAGAGGACGGCCCTGGGGACCTGGGCTGGGGTGGGCAGGGAGATGCCAGGGGCCATGAGGACAACCAAGGCTGCTGTAGAGTCGCTTGTCCCAGTGAGCATGGGCCCCCAGGTTGGCTGGGGCAGCTGGAGCAGCTGCGTCAACTGGGACACCACACTGGCAGGTGCAGGCTCATTCTCGGGACAGGGGACATTCAGTGCCTCCCTCCTTGGGCCTGGGAGCACCACAGTCCTGACAAAGGAGACAGGAGAGCTAGTCAGACCTAGCAGCTGGGACACAATGCCACAAGAGAGGGAGTGCCAGGGGGTGCGTGGGGTGCCAATTGTGTCAGCATAGCCTTGAGACATCAGGGAGATATACTGGGTTAGGGACTGCGGGCCACTCCAGCCTTGGCAGCACCTCTGTGGGGAGAGAAAGTGTCTCCTCTCTAGGGAGGCGAGTGAGAAACAAGTTCCCTTTGGAGGGTGTTCAGTTTGGCAGAGGTTAGAGTCAGCCATCTCGGCTCTCAGCACCTTTGTCCAGCCAACAGCCTACACAACTCAACATTACCAACACGCCCCCTGCTCCCCTGCACGGAAGGCTCACAGCTAAATCACTGGAAGGTGGCTGCACCAATCATCACAGGCCGCCAACCAGCCACTGAGGTGGTAACCTAGAATTAAGGGCAAAACTAGGAGGTGTGGAAAATTCAAAGGGATCAGAGAAGCCCAAGGCTTGGTGAGGATCTGCCTCTGATGTTGCCCACGGAGGGATCCCAAGCTCTGCAGCCCGGACTCCAGTGAAAAAGGCAGGCTGGGGCGGAGTGGGCAGGAAACCCAGCGGGGAGCCTCAGAGGCGGCAGCAGCCCCCAGGGGCTGGCATCACCCAGTGATCGCAGGATCAGAAACTCACTTCTGAAACCAGACTGGTTTTTACACTTCTAGCCTTTCTTTGTTTATTTCCTTTTCGCTCTCCTTTAACATTTAGTACAATTCAAAAATATTTTTTTGTGGTTAATACAGGTAGAGGAGGTAAAATGACTACCCTTTGAAATGCCACCCTAGCCAGCTGAGCACTGAGGTGACAGGGGCCCTGTCTCCCTCTCCCCAGGGGCTGGGTGGCAGCAGGCGAGGGGGATGGGCAAGCTGGCTCCAGAGCCTTCCTTCCCAGTGACCCTTCCCAAGCTCCTCCTGCCCGCCCTGTGCCACTTCCGGCCTGCTGGTCAGTCCACAAAGCCTGGCGCCCCCTGGGATTATCGTCAGCTTTGCTCTGTAAACCACTGGTCACAGCAAAACCTCCTTCTCTTCCCATCGCTGTGGGATGTGGTCTCATCCTGCGGGGGAAAATCTGACGGCTGAGTCAGAACTGAGACGCCAGAGTATAAGCTCTGTGATCTAAGGCTAGTGGCTTAACCTCTCTGGGCTAACTGTTTCTTGGTACCCACAAGATGTCAGCACCATCTCTGCACCCAGTGAACAGAGAAGGTTATATGCAGAGAAAGCACCTGGCTTGTCAAAGACACTTCAGAGTCTGTTCCGTCCCCTGCTCCATGCCTGCAGGTCTGTGAAGGCACAGAACTTCCTTCCTCCCAGGAGGTTGGCAGGGTCTGGGGACATTTCCATTTCCCCTTGGCCCTAGCTAATGGGAGTCACAAAGTGTGAGATACAGAACAGAAGCAGGGACAGGAAGCAGGAAGTCAAGCAGCCTTACCAAGTAATAACTGGCTGACCCTGGGGGAGGTGCCAGGCAGGGACCAAGGGTGGGGAACCATGCTATCCAGGCTCACTGCTGGGTCTGCTGGGGAGCTGGGTCCTCTGAGGGGAGCAGGGTAACCCCTGTCATCCAGAGGCTGATGCCTCTGCAGGGGTGGCCACAGCTGGGGCAATACAAGACAGAGTCCAGTCAGGGCAGCAAGGCTGGTGCCATCCACGGAGAGCAGCAAGGCTGCCCAGGAAGAGGGAGGGGAGGAATCCCGGGCTCGGACCCCAGGGCCCTTGGCCAAGCCCTGCAAGGGGCCTCCCGCCACTCACCCAGTGTCCTGCGGCCTCCCTGCACAATGGCTCACGGACCCGGGGCCTCTGGGTGGCCACTGGCTCCAGGGCCCATGCCTGTGACGGTAACTTGTTGCTGCCGGGCCGACCCCCAGCCAGGGAGCGGGAGGGAGGAGGAGGAGGCGGGCGTGCTGAGCTGGCTGCCCATCCCCTCCTCCCCGTCCCTCCTTCCTCCCTCCCTGCGCCAGGCCGGCTGTGGAGATGAAGGGACCGGGATTTCCGCTGCTTAACTCTTTGGAGGTCTGATGGGTGGGGTTTGATTCAAAGGCCCGGAAAGGCAGAGCAGAAAGGAGTCTGAAGCCCCTCCGTGTCTGGGCTGGGAAACTGAGGCAGCCGGCGAAGGGGGCTCGAGTCCCCTAAGTTGCTGAGGAAAGGGAGGCAGTGCTGGAAACTTCCAAGTCCAGGGTCCAAGCGCTCACTGCTGAGCGGCAGACGGGGCGTGGATGTTGGCAAGGACAGCGGGAAGGCACCAGCACCCACCCTGCTGCCCCAGGCTGAAATCCTGGCCCTGTCGCCCACTAGCCAGGGACCCGGCCAATCACTGCTTATCAGACCCCAGTGTCGTAGGATTCTGTCACCACCCAACTGCCATGCATGAGGGACAGCTGGCTGGGTGAACGGCAGGCAGGACCCCTCTGGTGGCAGGACAGTGAGGGCGAGCTCCCCGTGGACACCAAAGTCTTCCTCCTCAGCCCAGAACTCTGCCATCTTTTTTATTCAGCCTGCTGGTCCTCTACAGCCAGTCCCCAGGGAAACGACCCCCAGCACGTTCAGAGAACAGCCTGCAGGCTCCTGGCTCTAGGCAGGGCCCTGCCTCAGTTTCCTTCCAGGTAAGCTGGGAGAAGCTAAGCAGAGGCTGCAGCCCTGGCTCCCCACCCTGGCTTTCTGGGGCCAAGACCTTGTGCAGAGACAGCCTCAAATGTCCCTGGCCCTCTGCCACCCTCCTGTTCCGCAGTCACTGCATAATACTTAGGCCAAGTCTCATCTCTCAGGGGCCTCTGGTCCCCAAAAGTTGTTTGTACCCATTAGCTCAGCCTCAGAGGAGGGAGCCAGGCTCAGGGGACAGCTAAGTGACTTGCCCAAGGTCACACTAACGTGGAAAAGAACTGGGTGCAGAACGGAAGTGCTCTCCAACCCTCCTGAGCCCAGAGCTTGGGCCAGGAAGGTGCAGGAGTGCAGGGAATAGATGGGGACAGATGTCAAGTCTGGGGTTCTGCAAGCTGAACCCCAGCCCCCACTCACAGCTGTGCAGTAGAGAAGGGAAACAGCCCCTGGCTATATGTCCTGGACCAGCACCCATCCCCGGGCCCCAAATTTCCTATTTGCTTGGGGGGAAAACAGACAGCTGTGAATCAGGCCTGGAAGGCTCCTTAGAGATGATTTAATTTGATTCCTCCGTCTGACCCGCAGAGACAGGACGCCACAGCCCAGGGAGGTCAAGACTTTGGCTCAAGGTCCCCACATAGCAGACTCTCCAAACTGAGATGACAGCCAGACTCTCCCCATTTCTGGCCCTGCACTGCTTCCCTTTCCCCAGCACTGACTTGGAGGCTCCACGTTTATTCAGCAGTACGGAGGGGGAGCACAGGAAAAAGTAAAGACCTGTGAGGGACTGGGCCATGGGGACCACTGTCCACGTCCTCTACATGGCCCTGGTCCTCTACATGGCCCTGCCCAGGGCAGCATTCCCAGGGCACAGAGCCAGGGGAGGGGAGTCACCCTCCTACACTGCCAGAGGCCACCCTGGAAAAAGGCAGAGTCAGCAGCACTGGGGGCGGGGGACCACGCTGGCTGTTTCCGAGCCGGCTGGTTTAGAAAGGCTGAGAGGCTGAGGAAAGAGGGTGGAGAAGAAAGATGGATAGAGACAGAGAAGCAGGCAGGGGACCTGGCAGTGTCGTCCAGGGACGGCAGCATGCTTAGCAGCGTACACCCCACGCACACACTCAGCACCACTACGCAAAAGATAAAGCTGCGATCCAGGAAAAAGACGTGCAGGTTTGAACATGAGCTCCTTTGGCTGCCAGCCAGGTGATGGCCCAGAAAAGGGCTCTCTGTCCCCCCCCCACACCCCGCCCCCAGGGCCAGGCAGCTGGCTGGGGCACAGCAGATAAGAAAGTAGCATGCAGGATTACTACACTTATTTCCCTCCCACTCTCTTTCACCATCCCTGGAAATTCCTCCCTGTGGGCACCATCTCTGTTCTAGCTTGGATCTGAAATATTCCCCTAAACCTGGAGTGCTGAGGGCTTTGTCCCCAAGGCAGCAGTGTTCAGAGGGGGAGGTGGCTGGATCAGGAGGGCTCTGACCTCATCAGTGGGTTAAACCATGGACTGAGTCATAACAGAGGCGGACTGGGAGGTGGTGGGAATTTAGGAGGTGAGACCTTGTTGCATGCCCTTGGGACCACGTGTTGTTCCCAGCCCCTTCCTCTCTGGCTGTCTTTTCTTTCTGGTTCCCAGCTGCCACAAGGCCAGTCTGGCTCCACCACAACTTTCTGCCACATTCAGCCTTGCCTCAGGCCTTCAGGCACAGGGCCGACCAACCACGGACTGACACCTCTGCAACTGTGAGCCTCCCTTGTAGGTTGACGTTCTCAGAAAGCTAGCACAGTCCCCCCAGCCACCAGGGTCTCCTCCGCCAGTTAGGTAGTTTGGAGACAGCTCCAGCCCTGGGGCAGGCAAACCTGGGTTATGACTCAATACCATCTCCTTCTAGCTGTTTGACCTTGAGCAGGATTCCTCACTCCTCTGAGCTTTGGTGCCCCAGGGCCAGATGAACACCAGGACACCAAGACTGTGTGCCTGGTGAACAGCCAGTGGGGGTGCTCCATACTGACCCCCTCAGGCATCTCCCTGGCTGAGCCTTGAATATGATGAGGTGCACCCACCCTCCTCAGGTACACCCCAGTGTGAAAGCCTGGGGGTCTGGGATACCCTCACCCCTCTGGCACAGCCACCGTCAGCAAAGCCAAAACCGCAGCGCAGCGGCCCTGCGTCACGGCACCAAGACCAGAATCCCAGCCACACACACCACCCCTCTTCCAGAAGACAGTGACTCGAGGATCCAAGAGTCAGCTATGTAAACTGTGAAGGGCAGTCACAGATCTAATCTTTCAAGGTCAGACACCTATTTTAAAACTAAACAAAGGGAAACGCTAGCGCCATCTACTGGGTAGAGCCCCACACCCGCAGCCTGCGCCGTCCCCTGCTCAGGGGTGCCCTAACCCCGTCCTTAACCCTAACCTCAGTGCACCCTCAGCCCCCGCCCCCATTAGGGGAACGAAGGGGCAGGAACCGCTCGGGCGCCCATTCACTCGCCGTCTCCTCCACACCCCAGCGCTCCCCGCAGAGCGAGAGCATCCCTGTCCCCAGCAGCAACCCCTCGCCGCGGGGACCCAGGCACCCTTGGCATCCCCTAAACGGGACCCTCGCTACAAGGACGCGGCTGGCGGACAGCTCCTCGAGCCTAAACCCCTGAAACCCAAGGCCGCTAGAGAACCAAGAGCCGCTAGTGTACGAGGGAGGGGTCTTTGAGTGTCCAGAGTCTAGGTAAATCGGGCACAAGGAAACAAGGTCGAGGGCGACGGAGCAGGACCGAGTACAGCCGGAAAAAGGCGAGTCTGGCCGAGTCTCTAGCCGAGTCTTTCGCCGAATAGAGCCGAGCCTGGCCGAGAGAATCCGAGAGTGGCCGAATAGAGTCGAGGAGCGAAGGCAGGCCCTAATGTCTCGTAGCGCCCCCTGCAGGACAGAGAGAACAAAGCTAAGCAGGGCCACCTCTCCTCCCAGTGCCGGGACAGTCCTGCGGGAAGCCAGTGTGAAACCTGTTTTCCAGATGAAGAAACTAAGGTTCCAAGGCGTCCTCAGGCTAGCTCCAAGGCACTCACAGCTAAGAAGTGATAGAGTTGGGATCCAAACCTGACTGTGCGGCTGAGTGCCCATCCGCCACTGCACTCAGGTAAACAGGCGCTGTTTGCCTTGTTCTCCCCGTAACGGGGCCGTTTATTAGGACCGGGAAGCAAGGCGCCTTCTTGTCTGATGGTGGGAGCCGCGGCAGAAGCTCAGGCACAACTGTGGACCTGGGAGTGTTGACCAAATGCAGCCGCCAGCAGTCCCCATGAGCAAATATTGACACATTTCCTGGCTGTTAAAGCAGAAGGCAGAGCGGAGGCCCTGTGCTTCCCTTCCCCCGGGGAGCTCTGCCACGTGCACACCCCACCTCCACCCCAGCCTCAGTTTCCCCACCTTCTTCCAAGATGGTGGAAGAAGACATGGGCTGGTAGACAGTGGCTCAGAGAGCAAGGCTTCTGTGACCTGGGAGGACCGAGTGTGGCCCAGTACTTTGAGGTGATGTGAAAATAAAGGCTAGTGCGATCCTCTGCAGGTCATCCTTAGCCCGCTTCGGGTGGGGCCTGGGCTGCCCCCTGCCTGTGGGGTCTTCTTGGGGGCGTTGTCCACCACCAGGGCCACCAGGTTGCTGGCAGCTGTGGTCTCAGAGCTCTGAGCACTGCAGCGTCAGTGTCCACCCAGTCCCGATTTTCATAGTTTTTTTAAAACCATGGACCCTGGAGTAGGGGCTGGGAAAAGCGTTCTAAGTCACAGGGCCTCCTCCTAGCTGCTGTCAGAACCGGAAGGGCCTACACACTTCCCTGTGGACAGACACAAGCTCTCCCCTGGGAGCCCCTCCTACACCGCAGAAGGGTCCCGGCTTGGGTCAAAGCAGCGCCCTGTCTGACTGACCGTTCCACGGACCGGTGGCATGTGGAGCTCTGCTCTGTTTGCAAATATTAACTCATTCCAGTCACCTGACAACAGAAATATTTGCTTTCGTGTTCATCTCAAAGGAAACTGAGACACAGAGAGGTTAATTAACTGGCTCAAAGTCAAACGCAAATGGATGAGCCCGGACTCAAACCTCAGCTGTCCTCAAGTCCACGCACTTAACGCTGCTGTCATTTCTTTAGCACCTAGAAAGCAGGCCTTGCCCTTCTCTATCCTCAGCCTCTACAATGGGCAGCGAGCAAAAAATACTTGAATGAAGGGATGAACAGATTCAGCAGGACCTCTAGGGGCCCAGATGTGGCAGGGGGAGAATGGTATTTGTTTGCCTAAACAAAGTGCCACAAACTGGGCATCTTAAACAAAAATGTGTTTCCTCACAGTCCTGGAGGCTGGAGGTCCAAGGTCAAAGTGTCACTGGGGTTGCTTCCTTCCGAGGCCTCTAAGGAATCCGCTCCCTCCTCAGTCCTGGCTCCAGCAGTTTGTGGACAACCTCTGACATCCCCTGGCCCCGTTACCTTCGTGCTTACATGGGCTTCTTGTGACTGTGTCCAAATTGTCCGAACTGCACCTGCTTCTATTTTTTTTTTTCCAGTACTGGAGATCAGACCCAGGGCCTCCTACATGCTAGATAATCACTCAGCCACTGAGCTATATCCCCAACCCTTTTTAAAACTGTATTTTGAGCTGGGCATGGTGGTGCACACCTATTATCCCTGAGGTAGGAGGATCGCTGTGAGTTCGAGGCCTGCCTGGGCTACATAAGCAAGTTCAAGGCCAGCCTGCACTACGTAGTGAGACTGTCTCAAAAAATAAAACAAAAATTATACCTGAAGACAGAGTCTTGTTAAGTTGCTCAGGCTGGCCTTGAACTTGCAATCTTCCTGCCGTAGCCTCCGGAGTAGCTAGGCTTACAGATGTGTGTCACTGTGCCCTCCCATTTCCTTAAGGACAGTAAGTTGGATTGGATTCAGGGTCCATCCTACTCCAGGATGGGCTCATCTTAACTTCTTGTACCTGCTTCTTACATCCTACTTCCAAATAAGTTCACATCCTGAGATTTGGGAGTTAGAATTTCAACATTCAAATTTGGGAGGACACGATCCCGTCCCTAACAGAACTGAACTCCCTAGCTGGCCCTGCCTGACACAGCCTCTGCTCCAATGGGCCTCCCCGCTCCCTTTCTCCCTGGAGCACACTGTGTCCCTTGGCTTCAGGGCCTTAGCACACACGGGTCCCTCTGACGGCCACACTCAAGCTCAAACCTCTGTCTCCACACACCCCCACACTTTGCCCTCCAGAGCACACTGCACTCCTTCTCCACAGAGCCCAATGTAGTGAGTCACCCGCAACTACTTACAAGGGTACAGAACGAAAGGACCTGAACCTGGCCTAGGGCTGGCACCTGGCAGACAGTGGCTGTTTCCAAGACCTTTGTTAACTTGAACTATAGCGGGACAGGTAAGATAAACTGCCCAAGGCCACACACTAGATTTTCGGCAGCATGGAGCCCAGGGTCCTGGCCTCCTTGCTTTGGGTCCCTGACTTTTGGGGGTACCTGGCCCCCAGCCTTGTAATGGACTTGCCAAGGTTCTCATGGGGGCTGCCAGCGGCAGGCAGTGCCCCAAGGCCTTGGCAGGACAATGACCTTGCAGGATTCCAGGATGCTACTCATATGACAGCGTGGGGTTCCCATTGCCTTGAGAGTTTTCTTCTGTGTCTGAAGTGTCGTGCTGGCCAGGCTGTCACCTTCCTGTGGGACAGTGGCCTCTGTCATGCTTTCTAGGTGAGGAAGATCTTGAAGATCTGGGGGCTTTGGCATCCCCAGCCGCAGGTCCTGTGACTCCCAGCTCCTCTCCACATCACTGATGCTGACGCACAGAGTCCTGGTCCAGGGCCAGGTGGTCATGGGCTGTTGCCTGGCAACCGCTTCTGAGCAACAAGTTCAAGGTGAGGCCTCTTACCTTGAGTGGGAACCACTTCAATGACTGGAGTGGACTCAGGCAGGGTGGGTCATCACTGCCACTCCTCCCTGCTCAGACTCTCAGCCGGAGAGCCTCCCCTCATACTCAGCCCACAAGATGCCCGCAGCCCCAGATTCCAGTCCCAGTCCCCAAAGGAAGGTCCTCCTGCCCCACTCCCCTAACTCCTACACTTGTTTATTCAGGGTCAGCACGCACATGTGTGGGACAAGGATGAAAACACACACACATGCATGTGAGCATGTGCAGGCAGAGCCACCCAGTGTGGGGAAGGGCAGGGCTGTGGGACCCAGAGAAGGATCTGGCCCAGGCAGCCACACCCACATAATGCCCATGCCCAGGAGTCCCTCTACCCTCCCCCTACACACATGACCCAGCACATGTTCACAGCTAAGATGTCCTGAGCATCTAGTACACACCCAGCACTGTGCTCATACAAACCATGCACGTGGACGCACATCCCACCCAGCAGAAGCAGTGAGCCTGTGCGCAACCAGGCTGCTGGGGTAGCCTGGCCCACCTTCACTTGCCATGGTAGTCTGTCTTTGACCTACCTCCTACCCATTGGCCAGGCCAGACTCTCCATCATAGTCCCTTACTTTCTCTCTGGCTAGAAGGGTAGACACAGTGACCTATACTGACCAATCATAGCACCCTATAATCACATTGTCTTTAGAGATTGGCCCAAAGGACTTTCATGTGACGTAGTTGGAGCCAATCAGCTTTCTTCTATGAGATTTTGTAGTTGAATAATAGGAAGAAAAGTTATCTACTGCTTTTGGATGAGATCTGTAAGAATGTGGCCCTGGCCTGTCAAGGGTGTCTTTCAGGTCCTCAGAAGGACCTACTTTAGGAAGTTACATAAGAAAATGTCAGGATGCACAGAGTTCAAACATTCCCACACATTCACACCTATCTGGACACTCAACATCCAACCAAAGAATTGGCCCAGGCCACAGGTGTCATGTGTCACCATCTTTATTGACAAGAGCTAGGGGCAGAAGTAGCACAGGATTTCCTAACCAGCCTCCTGCTTCCCTTGCAAAACATTGGCCTCTGCCCAGGAGTCAGGAAGGTAGGGATAACTGGAGTGCCAGGCGTACCTTCTTCCTCCCTCCCTCTCATCCTTTTTTTTTTTTCTCCAGTCCTTTTCAGGGGAGCTCCATGCCCCACCCAGGGCTGAGCCTCAGGCCTGCAGCCTCTCCACTGGTTTGGTTTTGGGTCCTTCCTTCCCCACCAAAGGGTCTGCTCTAGCCCCAGGCCCTGCCTCCTGGCCCTGTGCACCCTTGAAAGCTGGACCCAGAAAGGCCGCCTGATGCAGGAGAGGGGTCTGGGCCAAGCTTGGCGGTGGGGAGCGTATCTCCACTCTGTCATCTGCACTGCCCCAGCCCACCTGTTGCAGTGACTGGCTGTTTCCTCAGAACAGCTGCTGCTGTCCCCAAATCCCAGGAGGCAGGCAGGCTGAGGCGTGATGGAGCAATGGGGGCCCAGAGAGGTCAGAGCTGGTCACAGGTCCTGAGATGATTTGAAGACCCAGGTCTCCAAAATTCTGGTTCAGGTGTTTTCCCTGAGGAACCCCTTCCCTCAGGGAGGGGGGCTTGGCCAGAAGTACCGACTGCCCAGGGCCACCTCCCTGTGGCTCTGAGGGGTCATCCCGGCAGGGAGCCCCGGCCCCCTTGGACAAGGCCCCTGGGAGTGTAGAGCATGGGGGGAATGGAGGGCCCTGCTCCCCCACATGAGGGGCTCACCCTCCCAATGCCCATTTCCCGGACCTCTGTCAAGGCCACGCTGGCCTCACCAGCACAACAGCGGCTGGCCCTGTACCTTGGGGGACATTTGCTTCCCCGTCATATGCTTTCCCACAGACAAGGTGGGCAGGGCATCCGTCAGCCCTGGCCCATGGAGGCAGTGACTGAGCTGAGCCCAGCAGGGCCAAGGTCAGCTCCAAGGTCATTAAAAACATCCGTCCTCCCCCTTCCTTCCCTCTTCCTCCTTCTGCTTCCTCTTCTTCCTCCTACCTCCTCCTCCTCCTCCTCTGTCTCCTCACATTGCTCCATAGACACTGACTCTCCAAGTCTGCCTGTGGATGCCGGGCTCAGCTCTGCTCTCAGAGCGGGGAGGGTGCAGGTTGCAGAAGAGGAACAGGGCTGTCCCTCCTCTGAGGCCTCAGGAACCTACCTAAGGAGCCCTCTGGGACAGAGTCCTGGGGACTTTAGCTGCCTTGGTGATCAGGTGGCTGAGCTCAACAGGGGCCCAACTAGGCTATGGGCAGCCTAAACTTAAGCAGCCTGGGGCCCTCTCTAAGAAAAGAAATACAAAATCGCAAGTACAAAATGAGTGTGGGATGCTGGGCGTGGTGGCACACACCCGAAATCCTCGCCTATAATCCCTCGGGAGGCTGAGGCAGGCGGATCAGCATGAGTTCAAAGCCAGCCTGGGCTACATAGTGAATTTAAGGCCAGCCTAAATTACAGAGTGAGACCCTGTCTCAACAAACAAAAAAAATAAACGAACAAAATGAATGCAAGGCCTCCAAAGGACCCAAGCAGCAAGGGACCCTGAAGCGGGACTTAATTTGCTTCCTGGAAAATCTGCCTCATTTCCTGCTCATGGGATTTCTAGCGCAGCTGTCAGGACCCATGGACCTGGAGGACACCGCGGTATGCAGGAAGCAGAGGCAGAGGCGTAGAGGAATCCAGGCAGCCCGGTCCTCGCAGCCGCCACAAGGGCTGAGCTGGAACCCGAGCCTCCCATTCCCTCCTCCCCACCGAGTTCAACTTTCTTCTTTGGGGTCCAGTTCAGCCTCCAGTGTCCCAGATTGAGCCCAGGAAGTCCTGGCCTTGGTCTGTCCGTCTGAGGACCCAGGCCAGGTGACGCCAGCCCCCTAACCTGGGCACCACTCCGGAAGTTCAGCCTGGCAGCCATGCCCTCCAGGGCTCTCATCTGACAGAGCCCATGCAGGCTGATTACTCCCATCCCTGAGTCACAGAGAAGAAAACAAGGCCCAGAGAGGCCAAGTGATCTGCCAAGGTCACACAGCAATCCTGGTAATAACAAGATCAGAGTCCAGGCCTCTGGTCATCCCACGTGAGCGCATATACAGCCTCTGCCCTTCTTGGGCTGCCAGCTCCTTCCCTGGTCCCTATCGACAGCGGATGTGGAGGAGGCCAGACTTCTCCCCAGCAGAGGGCTCCTGGGGGAGGGGCTGCTGCTCCTTGCCTGCCGTGGCACTGAGCGATCGCTCCTGCCCACTGGTGCCGGGCTGTGTGGTCTCAGTGACCCCGCCGCCATTCAGCTCCTTCCATTTCCTGTCCTTCCTCTCCTGCTCCTCCCCGCCCTCCTCTCCATCCTCATCCTCGTCCTCTTCCTCCGTCTTCTCCGGGGGGCCCGTGGGGGGCTCCTGGCTGCGCACGCGGCGGGACGGCCGCAGCAGAACCCTGCGGAAGCCTTGCTTGAAGCGGTAGGAGAGGAAGCCATAGAGGATGGGGTTGGCACAGCTGTTGGCATAGGGTAGTGCCACCACCAGGAAGTAGAGGCCGAAGAAGGCGGGCTCCTCAGGCAGGGGGCACACCACGTTGACGATGTTGAGCACATAGAAGGGCATCCAGCAGAGGACGAAGAGCGCCACCACCGCCACCACCATGCGCGTGACCCTGCGCTCAGAGCGCCGCCGCCGCTGGCCCGAGGGCGCCTGCACCCACTGGCATGAGGGAGCCCGCACCCGCCGCCCGGCCGAGCGCACCTTCACCACGATGAGCAGGTAGCAGAGACAGATGACCAGCAGCGGCCCGAAGAAGCCCAGCGCGGCTGTGTAGATGATGAAGGCGGCTCTCCAGGCCGCCGCCGGCTCGGGCCACTGCATGTGGCAGGTGCTCATGCCCTGGGGCACACCCGAGAAGACCACCACAGGCAGCACCACCACGGCCGAAGCCACCCAGACGGCCGCACTGACCACACGGGCCACCGGGGCCGTGCGCCAGCGGGCCGAGCGCGTAGGGTGTACCACAGCCAGGTAGCGGTCCACGCTCATGACCGTGAGGCAGAAGATGCTGGTGAACTGGTTGATGCCGTCCAGAGCCATCACCAGGCGACACATGAGGGACCCGAAGGGCCAGTAGGACAGAGCATTCTGGGCAGCCAGGAAGGGCAGCCCCAGCATGAAGAGCTCGTCGGCCAGCGCCAGGTTGAGGATGTACACGCTGGTGACCGACGGGCTGGCTGTGTGCCGCAGGACCACATAGATGACCAGTGAGTTGCCCAGCAGGCCCACCACGCACACCACCAAGTAGACGAGCGGGATCAGGACGCCGCTGATGGCCAGCCCTGCCGGACCCGGGGATGCAGACCTGTTTCCAAGGGTGGTGTCCAGCGGCCAGGCTGAGGAGGCATTCCCAGGGTCCCAGGTCGTGGGCACTGGTGAGGGGTAGCCAGGGGTATCCATGGCCCAGCGCAGCGGGTCAGCAGTCAGCTCCTGGCCTGGAGGGGGAAGGACACAGCTGAGTCACGGAGTCAGAGGGCAGCAATCTCGGCCCCTCTCCCGTTGCACTGAACATGGAGGCCATCTGCGGCCAGTCTATGGAGCTGCACGGTCCTGCAAGATTGGGTGGGTCTGTGCCGTTTATCAGAAGAGACACTAAGTCTTGGGGAAGTGAAGCGACCACCCCTCCAGGTCACATTACTAGGGTGTGGCACAGGACAGGAAGTTCTGCTGTTCCATAAAGTAATCATGCCCTTTCCAGGACTGGCACCCAGCTGGCAGGACCCCAGGAAGTGGACTGCGCTGCCTCCCCCACCAGTATGTCTCAGCCCCGATGAACCTATGCTCAAGCTGAATGGGGACCCTACAGGAACCTCGGAGGACCCATGAGCCCCCAAATTCCAGGTGAAAATGTGTCTGCAAGTCACATGTGGGGTGCACGCTGAAATCCCAGGACTTTGGGAGGCTGAGACAAGAGGATTGCAGGTTGGAGACCAGCCTGGGCAACTGAGTGACTCATCAAGATCCTGTCTTAAAATAAAAAAATAAAAAGAAGTGGGGATGTAGCTGAGAGCAAAGGCCCTGAGTCTAATCCCAAAACAAAACATAACATAACATAACATGCCTGTATCTTTTCTGGCGGAACCCAGAGCTTTCACCAGATGCCTGATTCTAAATGGAGTAAAGGACCCACAGGGCCAGGAACTCCCTCTGCCTGGCTGTCCCACTGGCCTCACCCCAGACCCTGCCAGGGAGGTAGCTGTGCCCTGGGGCTGGGGATGTGGAGGCCCCAGCTCCCCTGCAACCCAGCTGGAGATACAGAAGTCTGTGAACACATGGTGGGTGCTGTCACAGGACAGCTGCATCCCCCAGCCACAGACGCGAGGAGCTGATTGATGTCCCAGAGGGGACTGGGGCAGCAGCATGCCCACCAGCACTGCATGCCCTCCAGTACCTCCCTATCACAGCTCCTGGGTGTCAAAGCCAGGCCACCATCCCAGGCCCCCTGCTGGACTCAGTGCCCCTCAAGTGTGGAGATGCACCCAGCCCTTTCCTCCCCGCTGCAGCTGTTTCCTCCCACTTAGCCAAGCATGGCTCCACCTGCATTGGAGTACGAGACCTGGAGTCAGAGGAACAGGAGCAGATGGTCCTCAGCACAGCAGGGCAGGTGGCCAGTGAATGGAGGCCGGGTGGTACTTGCCAGCCTTCTCAGCTGGACTCTGGCTCCTGGAGGCCAGGCTGGGAGCACCTACCTCCTAATGACCTATCCCCTTGTCTCTTTGCCCCTGTCTGCCTCTGATTTTCCCTGCAGAAACTGTGATGGGGACACACATTCACTTTTATCTGAGCTTGGAGGCTTAGGGATCCTCTGTGGATTCGGGGAAAAGAAAGATGAAGGCCTTCCTCTCATGGCCTGCAATTCCACCCAGGACCTGCAGTAGGCGCTGCCCCAGGCAGACAAACCTCTGCAGGGGCAAAGCTCCCAGGACAGGGAGGCCGGCTGCTCCCAGCAGATGCCTTGGGCTCTGAGGGCCAACCAGGAGAGGCTGAGGGTAGCAGAGGACCCCTAGGCCGTGGCTCCGAGTGCTGAGTTCAGAACAGCCTCCCCTCCCAGAATAGGAGACAGGCGAGCTTCTGAGCCCGAGGGTGCCTGAGCTCAGCTGGCCCGCACCCCTCACCCTCAGCCAGGATGGTGGGCTGAGGCAGGCCAGGAGGGAGGAGGGCTAGTGGACAGGACCACAGCCATCCAGCTCAGAGCTGTCCCAGCCGCCCCCATTCTCAAGGCCATGGACCCAGAGCCGTAGACTGCAGGAGACCTATAAATAGCCTTTTAAATTCTTAGAACAGTCATAGAATCTCAGTCATAGATTCTTAGGCTCAGTGTCCTTGACGCAGAATGTTAAATTCCACTGCTAGAATCAGTCTTTGCTCGGTCCAGAACCGTGGAGTCTAAGACCTTTAACGTCCGGCTTCCCGGGCTTGGCTCATGAGGGTAGGGTCGGGGGGTGTTCTACATCACCTGTCCACCATGCACCCTGCTCTGCACAAAGCCGCTCTCCAGCGACCTTGCTGGGCAGCCAATCACAGCCCAGGGCTGCAGAGGGAGGACAGCGCCAGGCTGGAGAGGAGCAGAGAGCCAGGCAAACCTAATTTCCAGGCTTGAGGACAGATGCCCTCAGGGAAACCCCCTCCTCCTGCCAGGCAAACACGTGTGCAGCCTCACGTGCCAATACGCACTCGGGCAGGAGCACCTCAAGCCCAGCCAGACCCTCCTTCTGTACCCACGGGCCAACCAGCCCCTTGTGAAGCGTGGGCCACCAGCCTGGGTTCCGGCCACCACCCTGTCCCCGCCCATCCTCTCTGTCAAAGTTTAACAGCCCTGAAGCGGGCGGGCAAGAGGAGCAAGGAAATTACAGCTTTCCATGAGGGGTAAGGCAGACCTGCAATTTAGGTGCCGGCGTTTTTGGAAGCAGCTGGAATCCTGTGCATGATCTAGTTCATCCTTGGGAAGGAGAGACTTTTCCTCTCTGTCTGGTTTATCTTTGGCACAGCTTGCCTGAAAGCTGGGGGCGGATTCCTCTGAGGACCGTTCTGTTCAGGAGGGGAGAGGAGCACAGAGAGGGTGAGTGGCTGCCCTGAGCCCCACAGCAATTAAGGTCTGCCCCTGGGGATACCAGACTCCCAGCTGTGCTCACTCCCTTGTCTCCCAGCCACTACCCCTCTTGAGCTGGCTTTCAGCACCTAGCATCACCCAGAATTTGGTAATTATTGGCAGACCACACACCGCAGCCAGGAGAGTGCCAAGAGACAGTCTTCCTGAGCAGGGGTCTCAGACTCCCAGGTCAGAGAGGTTAGGCAACTTGCCTAGGGTCACCCAGCTGGTGAGTGGGAAGGGAGAATTCGAACTCTGTTTTGTATACTCTTAAAGCATCAGTATCTCTTGGACATGCAGCCTCAGACTGGGAGGAATCAGAGCCTGGGACAGTCCTGGACAGTGCAGGCTGATGGCCTCTGGCTGTCCTCTGCATCCCCAGGCCTTCCTCCAAAGAGGTCTGATTGTGCCCAAAGCTCCCACTCTAGGCCTGGGGCCTGAGCCCTGATTTCTACCCCACAAACCCCAGCTTGGGTCCAAGCTCTGCTACAGAGCGGCAGTGCCAGGGTGCAGTGTGACCTTGGGCAAACCTCTTCTCCTCTCTGGACCTAGTTTCCCTCCACTTAAATGCAGACGCAGGTTCCCAGGGTGGCTGTAAAGACTGGGTAGGCTCGGGCCAGACATCGTGCCCTGCACAGAGAGGGAGCCTAGGAGCACAGCCCCCCGTGAGCCCCTAGGTCACCACATCTTGCATCAGTTTCTCCAGCTGTGACCCTCGGCTGCTCCAAGACCTCAGGATTCTAGAATTGTACCCCAAACTCTGAGAGGAGCACCCCCACCCTGCAGCCCACGCAGAGGTCCCAGGAAGGCCTCCAACTCTGCAGCCCAGAACTCTGCCAGCCCACAGCCCAACCTCCCACATCCATCCTGGGCAGAGGGGGGGCCCTGGCACCCCCCTCAAGGACCCCAGCCCAGCTCCTTACCTGCCCACGGGGCGAGGGCTTCTTGCTGCCAGGCTGGTCATCATGCTGCTGCATCTTCCCCCCTGCCCAGTCCCTGGTGCCCCCAGAGCACCCCTAGCTGGCATCCCCCCGGGGTGCCCACTTCTAGGCCGCCTGTGAGCACGTGCCCCCTCCTAGGCCCTGGGAGCCCACACCTGCCCACAGAGCAGCTCCCATCTGCCCTCCGGCCCTGACTTCCCGCCGGCGCCCGGTGCGTCATGCCCTGTCCGTGGGACACATCCTCGGGGGAGAGGGGCACAGGTGGGGGTCTGCAGGCTGGGGTGGGTGGAGGAGGCTTCCCGAGGTGAGGAAGAGAAGACAGCGACAGGGACTGAGAAAAGCCAGTGGAACAGGGGAAAGGGGATTCGGTCGGAGGTGCAGAGAGAGGGCGGGGGAGAGTGGGTGGAAAGCCAGGATGAGGGGGAGCAGAGAGAGACGCGTGGCCGGGGAAGAGGAGGAGGAAAGGCAGGCGAGGGAGAGAGGGGACGAGAGCGATGCAGCGGGGCCAGCGCAAGCGAGGAAGGAGGAAGGAGAACGAGGGGGTGGCAGGGAGAGTGACAGAGAGGGATTGTGCCACAGATGGTGACATGGAGAGCCAGCACCAGCACGGGAGGGAGCCGGCGTGGCGTGGGGGGCGGGAGGGGTGGGAGGAGCGGCCGAGGCCAAGAGCAGGTGCCAGGGTGGTGGGGCCGCAGGTTAGGGGAGGAGGCCGGGAGAGGGAGGGGCCGGCCCTGTTACCGGGGAGATTTCAGCCACCCACGCTGGCCTTGGCTCTCGGGGGAGCAGAGAAGCTTGACACTCAGTGGCAGGACGCCCCCCGGGCTGCCGTGGCACATGTCCCCTGGGGTAGCAGCTGCGGCCCCGGGCGTGAGGCTGGGCACAGCTGTCCAGAGGGGGGGCGGGCAGGGGTGAGCCCTGAGTGGGGGTCTGCCGCAGGGTACACGGCCCTGGGCTGGACACAGGGTGGGGGTTGTCAGGTGCTGAGCACAGGGTGGGGGTCGTCTTCCTGGGGTCTGGGGAAGCTGGCGAGCCCCAAGCCGAGCAAGAAGCCAGAGGCCAGGGTGGAAAACGGGTATTTTTAGACTTTCAGAGCAGAGAGGCAACCTCAAAGCTCTCATGCAGCGAGAAAACAGATTTCCACTATTTTTAATTGACAAAATTAAAAATATAATCTCTATAATGAAGACAATTTTTTATAATACAAGTCTGCTAATGAGAAGAATAGAGTTCTTTGGGGGAGGATAATGTTTGGCTTAACTGGAGACCAAAGCTGGCATTTCCTGTTGTCAGAGGGGCTGCCTGTGCGGATCCGTGCGGATCCTTCCCAGCTCGGGGGCTCTGCAGACACAGGCAGGGCCCTTGGCCATTGGGAGTCCCTGTCCCAGGGGCCTGAGCCCTGGCCTGGCCGCCTCTGCACATCTTGTGACCCTGCCTCCCGAGAACGGGGAGGAAGAGGCAGAGAACAGAGCAAAGGGAAATGAGTCTTCCTTGAGGACCTCTCCGTAGTGGGTCACTCCTCAGGAGCAAGGCTGGACCTGCCTTTTGTCACGAGGTCCCAGGGCGTTCTCCCAGGCCCCAGGTGACCACAGGTCCAAGTTCATCCTGTAGATGGGCTCCCGGGACAGTGTTCTCAGGCTGCAGGGTGGGGATTCCGTGACACTGTCCCCTCTACCCACAGCCCTCCTGTGACTTCTCACTGACCCCCGAAAAGCCCCTTACAACCCACCTGGCTTCATACCTAGCAAGCCGTACTGCCCTGGCCTACCCAAGTGCAGCACACCCAGTCTCACTCACCCCTTCACCCGTCATTCATCTTCCAGATGCCCCTGGGTGCCGGGCTCGTCCTAAGCCCCAGGAACAAGGTGGTGGAGGAGACCAGCTCCTGCCTCCTGGCTCACTCGGGGTAGGACAGGCAATTTGCAAACACAAAGAGGGCTGGAACTGACCTGGGCCTGGAGAAGGGAGGCAGAGCCGGAAGGAGGCAGCGAAGGAGCCACTTGGTGCCGTGGAAGAGCGGAAACCAAGCACATTCCTGGGGAGGGCTTCTACCTCAGCCTGGAGGAGGGGGACTGCTCAGTGGGAGCAGAGGCCTTTGGGACCTGATTGATGTCTCTGCCAGGTTTGCTCTGGCTGCCCCTAGGGCCACACCTGGGCTGAGGGCAGAGTCAAGACACCAGCTGGGGGCCCAGTGAGGAGCGCTGGCTGCTTGGGGCCTTTGCGCAGGCTGCGCCCCTTCCCCACCCTCCTGGTGGCGCACAAGAAGTCACCGCCAGTTGTCCCCTCTGGAGGTCTTCCCGCCTCGGGTCAGGGTCGTCCCCTTCCCTAAGCCACCAGTCTGGCCCTAATCCCACCTGTGAGCAGCCAGCTGAGGGGGCAGGTCTGTCCCACACTGGGCTGTGTCCCCGGGCCTGGCACACAGTAGGTGTTTGCCAAGTGTTGAGTGAGTGAAGAGGATGGGAAGTTGGTGGCTGGGGGCAGAAGGGGCTGCTAAGGGGGCACTGGAGGTTGGGGGAGGGGCGGCCTGGGTGCCAGCTTGCGGCAGGTGCGACCCAAGTCAGAGAACAGCCTCCCTGGGGGCTCCTCCGGCAAAAGTGGCCCAAGAAGCAGGGCGCAAGAGAGCTGGGGGGCGAGGAAGTGTGGGGTACCTGGAAGCTGGGCGACCCTGCGCTGCTGGCATGGAAATCCCGGAGGCCTAGGGCCTGGGGCACGAGAACCCCTGACCCCTGTCAGAGCTGCTGGGGTCCTGGGGGCTGCCTGGCCTGCCACCCCCTAGACAGGACAACGCTGTCTCCTGTGCCAGAGCCCCACTCCTCCAAAACCAGGGCCTTGGCTGCACCCTTAGATTGTACGTCCACCATCAGACAGTTTTTCAGGAGCCCAGACCCAGGATTCTCCCCTCCCTGAGAGCCAGGACAAAGCTCCTTCGCTTTCCTCTCTGCCTGCAATACCTCCAAGACGGGGGCTCAGCTGCTGAGATGGACATCTGTCAGTCTCAAATAACAGATGACAAACAGCCACCTCAGCCCAACCCCTGGGCCGTCTCACTGCAGCCCCCCACAAGGGTGTCATCTGAGTCATCACCCCCACTGGTTCCAGTGGGTCTAAGGTGTGGCTTTGCCACTTACTGGCTGTGTGACCTCAGATTTGCGACTTAACCTCTCTGAGCTTCAGTCCTTCCTCTTCAACACCTGCTGTGTGGGGTTGCCATGACGATGGAATGAGTCAACTGCTACAGTTCCCAGGGACACTGAGACACTACCGTATGTGTTAGTTAATGTGATCCTGGCCACTTCTCAGCTCCCGAGGGTGGAGGGACAAGGGCTGGGACACCAGGCGGAGGAGTGCGAGCCCAGTGCCTGCCCGTGAAAACCTCTTGGAACTTGGGCCCCGCACTCTGTGTCTCTAAGCTATCCACGCTCTCGAGCCTGGTGCTGCCTGCTGGGCCTGGCAGTGGAGGCATTCAGGACCCGCCACTTGGGCATACTGATTCCTTTTAAACTAAAGTCTCTTGAAAAGCAAGAAGGGCATGGCGAGCTTTCCTGTGCTCCCTGAGGCAGGAGCTGAGGCTGTGGGAAAAGCGCCCTTCTGCCAACACCGGGGGCAGAGGGCGGGGACGGCTGCACCACAGACCTGCTCGGTGACCCCTTATCCTCCTGGGACACATCGGCCAGTTCCCTCCACACAAGGGCACGGACACTGCCTCACTCCTTGGGGCCTCCTGGGGACGGGGCTCCCACATCCAAGCCCATGGGAATAAGACTCCTGTTTTCCCCCGTGCCTCTGTCCCATGTCAGTTTAATTCTTAGGCCCAGCCAGAGACTCAAAGAGAGCAGAGAGCAAAACCTGTACCTCTGCCCTGCCCACCCCCGTCACCTATGTTGGTCCCCCGGTACTGCCCTCGGCAGGAAGTGAGGGCTTTTAGACACACAGATGCCAGCGTCAGACTCCTATGGCCATAAGCTGCTCACTGAATGAAACCCGCTATCTCCATGGCCTGTGTGTGTCCTTTAGTCGGAATCTCAGGTGAGCCCCAGGCCCTTTGCACAGGCTGCTCCCAGTCCCTCCCTTCACTCCAGTGGCAGGAGGGCATTATGTGCTCAGGGCAGCCTCCTCTGAAGCCCACCCCTCTTTGGCACTCCTGCCCACTCTTCCTCTGTAATGCAATTATTTTTTTATTTGATTTTATATTATCAAGACACTGCAAATAAAATTTTAAAACCAATTATGCTAAAAAGGGTTATAATAGCCAAAAAGATAACTATTCTCTTATGACCCTATCCCACTCCCTTGTCCCAGAGGTAACCCCGTCCTCATAGAGATTTCTCTGTTTATCTCCAGCTTCCTGAATATTATGTTTATTTTTCTCAATCTCGATTCCCCAACTTTACTCATATCTACGAAATCATCTATTAGGCCAATGAGCAGTTTAGATTTCTGAGACAGGATCTCATTTTGTTGTTTAGCCTAGCCTTGAACTACTATATAGCCCAGGCTGGCCTTGCACTCACTCCAACTCACAGAAATTCTGCTGCTTCAGCCTCCCAGGTGCTAGAATTATAGGCACGCACCACCACGCTTAGCAGGAGTTTAGATTTCTTACACCCTCTCCTCCCCTTCCTCATCCCCTCCCCATCTTCTCAGTAGGAATGATGTTACACACATATTAGGAATGCGATATACATATTATTTTCTGCTCAACCAAGAGTTAATAATTGCCTCATTTTTCCATTTGCTCAGTTTTTTTCTAAAATATGATTTTCTTGGACAATTGTTTCCACCTGTGCCCCAACAGCTCCATAAAAAACTAATTGTGGTGTTTCCAGATTCCAACCACAGTGAAATTTTTTTTTCCTGGCAGCTACTGAGCTCCTCTCGCCTGGCCCATGCTGCCCCTGAGGCCTAACTACAGCTCGGGCCTGGGGTGATCCTGAGAACCAAGTATTGAAGGCTGAGTTACCAGCCATGGCACCACTGGGAGGAGTCGGAATCTCTGGGAGGTGGGATAGTCAAAGGAAGTGAGGTCATTAAGGTGCGCCCTTGAGGGGCTATTGGGACCTCAGCCCTTCCTGTCTCTTTCTGTGCCTCTTGGCTGCCATGGGGAGAGAGCTTTACTCCACCACACACTCCCACCATGATGTTCTGCCTCACCACAGACTCAAAGCCAACAGAGCCAGTCAACCATTGACTGAGACTTTGAAATCCATGAGCCAACATGAATGTGCCGTAGTTTGAATCTTACATATCTTCCAAAGGCCATGGGCTAAAAGCTTGGTACCCAGATGATGGTGTTATGGGAAAGTCAGGGAAACTTCAGAAGGTGGGGTGAAGTTAGAAGAGGAGATCACTGGGGGTGTGTCTTTGGGAGGGTACATCCTGGATCTCTCCACCTTCTCTCTGTCTGTCTCTTTCCTTCCCAGGTGCCACGAGTTGAGCAGGTTTGTCTTTGTCACCCACTTTCACCGTGACGTTCTGCCTTAGCACAGGTCCAGAAACAATGAAGTCAAGTGAACACAGACTAAAACCCTGAAACTGTGAGCCAAGATGAATCTTTCTTCCTTTAAGTTCACTTTCTCAGATATTTTTTCACAGAAACAGACAGTTAACTAACAGAAAATTGG